TATTTGATCAAGTTGTATTTCTTACACTTTAAAGAATCACAGCGCTCCAAAAATCCACAAGAATTGGAATGGGAATAAACGAAGAAACAGAAAAAACCTATGACTCGAATAAACCCAATTCGCAGCATTAAAATAATTCTTTGAACTTTGAATCACTCATTTGGGTTGCAATTGTATAGGGTACATATTGTTATGCTGGATTACGAAAGCTTTACAAGCCAATTACACCATTACATGGTGATTTTTTTTATTTATAATTTTCCGTCAGTATGCTGCAAGTATAAACAAAGAGCCGGTACATACATAATCATTTCAATGTTCGCTTTTGGATTTAGCGATATTTTCCAGCACATGATAGGCTATACATTGAGGCCGTTATATTTAGTAGGAGAAGTACACGGGAAAACCCCCAGAAAGAATTACACACCCAAGAGAGGTTACTGTCAATCTTTCTCGCATACCCGCGTTGGCTGAGCTTGTGATTCGAACACAAACGGACATATGTGAGATGTATGTGTGATCTGATAAGTCGATTGACTTTGACCACTGTCTCACCCGGGGCCACTTGTCCACCTGTGGCCCCAATGAATGATTTAAAATCATTTAATTTAAGAGAATAAATGAGTATTATTTGGAATAACATTTCTTTCATTGTTCATTTATGCTTTGGAATCTGTGATATACTAATTACGAAATGTGATTCATAATATTCCAGAAAATGAATGGTAGAAATAGGAAAGCAAATGGCTAGATACAAAGAATAATTGCGTGTTAAAGAAAAGGTATAATTCTGATAGAAGTGGATTAGCTTTTAAAGTTCTGTTAAGTGTGAGACAAAACATTATTGATTTATATAAAAAAACCCATTAGATTGTATATGGTCAAACTGTCGTCAGATAGAAGTGAAAAATACCCTTAAATTATAATCTGATGTCTAATGAATTCAATAATTAACATTTTCCAGAAGATTGTAATGTAACCTCTGGGGAATATCTGGAAACAACGCAGTCTTTCATATTTCCATCTAAGTTTGAGTAATTTACTTTAAAAAAATATGTTTTGAGTTGATATACATTCTACTAAAATTTTGTCAGGGATACCCTCACCCTGTCCAATTTAATGGTAGTCATCTTTCATACACACGCAAAATAAAAAGCTATACATTTTCAAATTTTTTCTTCCTCATGTTCCTTTCTTCCTATTTATCTTGCAATCTACTAAACTATGTATGTGAGTGTGTGTGTTTTTTCTTTGATTGTCATTTAGCGATAGCATTAAACCCAGTCTTGCATGAAAGGGCGTCATCAGCACTGAACGTGTGATGGTGCATGATGGAACATGTTAGGGTTACGCACATGCATTTCACGGCAAAACTATTCATCATTTTAGACCGTACAAAAGGCTATACAAATAACGTCATATTTCATTCTCTTTCCCAATTCAAATTAAACATTCCGTATATAAATATTCTATTATACGCAGATTTATGGATTTATAATCGTCGTTTCCTAGGAAAAATCGTATAATTAATGTAGGACTGACACTTTAATTTGATTAATTGCTTTCCTTAGAAAGGGACTGATACCTGATCGATATCTTTTGATGGGTGAAATATTTTGCATTTACCAGGTGTATTTTTCCAACCATGTGATGTTAAATATGGAAGACAATAGTAGTGTTATGAAAAGAAATGTTATCATTACCTTCTTCTCATTCCCTACTATGAGAAGGAATTACTAGTCACGTTAAAAGATGTCTGTGATAAATTGGTGGCGTTCAAAACACACCAACCTCTTCCACTACGGTTCGTTGCGAGGGAATGACTTTCCGCTGTGTAATTTATTCAGTGTGGATGGATAGAAAGAAGAATGCAAATCTCTGAACAAGTATATTGAAAAAAAAATAACACAACGAACTCCCTTTCAATGAACAAATATAAAATTTAATAAGTTTAACAACAGAATTTAAAATGAAATGAAATCAATTTCTTGGTTACAAAAGAAGGAAAAATGTACTAATATGTACTCAAATAAATAACAATACATATTTTCTTTACTGTTACTATTATTTATCAGAGACAAAATTAATTCAATTCGTCATGCCTACGAGATGTGACCTTTGAGTGCAATGATGAGCGACATCATCAACTATCTTATCAGGACATCGAATATTTCGTCCGTCCCTGTTCTGCCAATCTTTGTCTAGTCGTCTGGACCTGTACTTTTGCCCGTCGAACTACGGTTAGAGGATTGTACGTAGACTTCAGCGTTGAAAACTTCTGACCTTTCGCTGCGGAAGTTTCCCAGGAATTTACAGGAAGCTGTTTTCTTTAATAAATAAAATGTCTCGCAATAGACAATAGGTCGCCTTTTCTAAGTATATAACCATATTTGTACAATAATTCGGCTCATAAAAATAAAAGGTATAAATTCTGTTGCACTCACGTTCACTAATTCCTATGTTTACATAGACGGTCATTGCATGTTTTGACCTTAATTCGGGTCACGCTAGTGGGGATCATTAAATTCCAGTTCACGGTTAATACGTATGTGCCCGTATTTAACATCGCTTGACTTCTTACATTAAACTATCTAGTAGTGTTAAATTACATATGGCTTAGCCCCTCAAATCTAACTATTCTAAAATAGTTTAAGTGATCAGTTAAATATTACAAACTAGTATATGAATATAACATCAAAACATGTCATACTAGACAGAGTTAATTCATAAAACTACGAAACTTTACCCATCATTTATTAAGCTTAATTCTCGAAAATTCCTAAGCACTCCTATGTATCGAAGATTCAATTACATGCAGTCTTGTCAATTCTCTCAATGAATTAATAATAAGAAAATCAAAGAATAAAATGTCTTGACTAACATTTCACTAAAACCCTGAAAAATGAAATCATACATACATACATCATAACATCGATACATTTATAAATAAATCAACAAATGAAATAGCATATTAAAATCGGAAAACTAAGATTGCGTACCGTTGCCGTTTCTTATTCGTCTTGTACGAATCCCCAATGTAGAATTTTTCTACTTTCTGAGACAACTCCCACGCCTTACTGCAATCACGAGAGACATACTTTCACGTTTCCCGGAGTCGACCGCCTAACTTCTCTCAAGAAATATTGAAGACTGAAGAATTTTTCCAACTGTTGCCTAAATCTTTTACGTAGAATATGTGATTGTCAAACAGCTAATCATGCCGTAACTAATGTTCCTTTGAACAATCATTTATTGACAAGCTTCTCCATTTAACTGGTTGATTTTGGAAAGAGGGTTATGTCAAACCCCTGTACCATAGTAGTTGACTCGGTCAAATTACGTCGCGTGGAACGAATTTCCTTTGCCGTTCAGAGATGAAATGAAAATAATCATATAACTGTCTCTAGCCCTTTCTCCTTTAATTAAGTTGACTTTGATTTCATTTAACCAATATTTCTAAGAGTTTTCAAAATTTGACATATTTTAATGTCCTTGCCCAAGATTCGCGAGGGAGAGAAGAAAGATCGGGCTCTCTTAAAGTGGAAGGTGTCACTCATAACCGTGTTGATACAGTTACATTTTGGGGTAACTTGACAATGCGAGAGAAAGAGCCTTTCTGATTATTGAATGAATGGACTGATTATTTCGAGGTTGCTGTTATTTTATACACTATTCCTATCCCATTCCTATCGAATCAGAACAAATAACCACCACTTTCCCACAAAAAAACATGCGAATCATTAATTTGTAAACTTTTGGATACAAGCGAATTGCATGATTATCAGCTTTTCATCAAGTCTAAAAATTTTGACGAAAACCTTTAAATACAGGAGAATGTTCTTACTCACACTATACCTTAGTGCAAAATTGCTTTCATATAATTTAATAAAAAATTACTTTTAATGCGATTAAGAAAAGATTTCAATCTTAATACTTTTACTTAATTAACTTTTACTTAATTATTGTATCCTTATAGTAGTATTAGTATGAATGGTTTCATAACAGTACCATTTGCCCTTGCGTGGGATAGATTGAAAAAATATTATTTATATATTTAAATCGTTTTCTTGCCTTTTGTTTTTTCAACCAGATTAGTTCAATTATCATAATAGTGTATAATTTCTTGGTTATCATATTGTTGGTATTTTAGAGCCCATCTCCCGCTAGTAGGTTATTAAGTACCAACGAAATTAGAGTAGAGTGCTTGGCGTAGGGCAGTTGCAGCGGAAGGGATTAAGACTCCCGTTAGCTAGATTGGTAATATTCTTTTGTAGTGCCCGTTTAGAAACGCTTGGGGCGATGTTCTTTTTTTTGTTTGTTAGTTATGCCCCAATTTGGTGACAGCGTTTATGGTAGTTGCCAGACTCTCTTCCCATTCCTAAAAATAAATATCGTAAAGAATTCCCCCATTACACTAAGGTGAAGGTAAAATACTATTAGACATATTTCTTTAGCCCTTGTCTAATATTTTTGGCTTTATAACAAAATTTTTCAGAAACACTGAATTTAAAGCTACTGTTCGTTAGCATCCTCTTTGCCCTTTCGAAACACTGTCAAATGTTTGTAGAGATTAAGTAAATCATAAACTACTGGTATGTACATTGGACAGACATTTAAATACACTTAACAGGAAACATTGAGCGGGATACATGTTGACATAACAAATTTAAATATTGTCAGTCAAGAATTTCAGTCGAACATATCTGTATTTGTTCATTGGATATGAATAGTTGATTATAACATGTATGTAAATTGTTTAATTTCTTAAATTCAGTCTTTTTAAACACGTCGTGCTGGTGAAGTCCTTAAACAACAAAGTAATACGAAATTTTCAAGTATAACGTTTCAATCTATAGCGCTACATTATTCGTTGCTTTCTCATAGCTCCAAAGGTGTTATAATACGTTTTTGTGCGTGTTTTCAATAGAAATATGACTGCATAATCAAAACTACATCATGACAATCTTTTAAATATGAATAATAAATTACCGTTACCGATGGACCGCTGCGGTGGCAGAGTGGTTAATGCGTCCGCCTCAGATGCGGTAGGTCGCGGGTTCCAACCCCGGTTGAGTCATACCAACGACTTTAAATAAATGGTACTCACAGATGCCTCGCTTGGCGCTCAGCATTAAGAGGTTAGTGTTAGGACTGGTCGGCCTGCTATCAGGATAATGTGACTGGGTGGGACATGCTGTGCTGCATGATGCCCCAGTGCTAGACACCATTATAAACTGTCACACTGCAGACATCGTAGCAATATGACTGAAAAAATATTAAAACTACAATAAAAATCTAAGACACAAACACGCTTTAACATTATGACAAGAGTATCATGCTGGATCTGAATACACTTTGGCGCATGCTCAGTTCGTTAATTGTCACAATTAACGATATTAAGACTCTTTAGTGTTAAACTAAGTTATAGAAAAGAGCGAAAGATTTGTAAACACAACAAACAATTTAACTATTTAGAATACAAAGTGAAAACGTTTATTTTTTTATAGAAAAATTTGAACTTTCAGTATTGCGATATAAATCTTAAATAATTTAAAGAATTTCTGACACCATTCCTAATGATTAGAGGTCTGAATAAACTTTAGTGGTATTCCAAAATAAATATAAATCTGAAAGTGTCGCTGTGCCCGTTATGGCCTGTGTTGTGGTTATGTGCCAACAGTTTTCTGGTGAATCACAATAATACAATCTAAGAATATATCCTTATTTAATTTTCACTATTATTCCAAATCTCTATTTTCAAGAATATTATTTTAGACGAGTACTTTGTGTTTACAGTGCATACATAATTTGAATAAATAAATTCTAGCCCAAATGAAATACTGAACACATTAATAAAACTGATTTCTTCTTCAGATGCTATCCCAGGAATAAAAATATTCCAAAAAACAAGATATTGTACTTCTCCACCTGACCTTGGTCGCAAATACAAAAAAGGAAAAGAATAATATTACCTAACAGAAAAGGTTGCAACTGTTTACAAGCTAACTCAGCTATAATTAGAATGACTGTTGCTAAAGTTATACATGATAAAGAATATGGTAAAGACAACGTCCTTGATTCTTAACAAGAAACATTCAGTTAAATGATTCTATTTTTAACTCTATACTCATTGAGAAAATATTGGCTATTTATGAGTAGTTTACAGAATTTAAAAGAAATCAATGAATTTGGTCACATAACACAATGAACCTGATTTTGGACAAGGTCAGCTGCAAAATGTCATCGAATTAAATATGCATAATAATGAAATCAGACGGCATGTTTCCATACAGTGGAATTCTTGCAACAACTATCATGCTCTTTAAAAGTATACAATGCAGGTGCGTCTGGGGGTTTTGTCCACTGGGCTCTCACAAGAATTTCCATCCAAAAAAAACCTCTTGCCTACTCGTACACACACACACACACACTCCTCCGCAAAAAGATTTTCCTGAATCCGCCCCTGCAATCTAAGTAATTTTGATAATCTATTATATTTTCTTCATTATGAATGTGATATAATAACCTTTTCAATATACCTTGAACAACATTGTTGATAATTGTTATGCATGTATTGAAGGAAATGTTTACGGAAAAGCAGGTGTTTATCTACTTGACACATCTCTTTGTAACAGAACCAATTTCGTAGAAACAATAAATGCAGGTTTCAATAAATTGTTGTCATGGATTAGATATCAATGCGTCTTAAATTACTGATACACGAAGCAGTTTATACAAATACATTTCCAATGACATCTTGGTTCAATTCTCAAATAGCGAAGGTAGGGCTAACAAATGCAGCAGCTCAGAAAACAATAGACTCATATCAGGTTTAAATTGATATTCAACAGCACTAAAAACGATGGATTCGTATCAGTTTTCATTTGATCTTCAACATCACTAAAAGCGATGGATTCGTATCAGTTTTCAGTTAGTTTTCATTAGCACTAAAAGCGATGGATTCGTATCAGTTTTTAGCTGATATGAAGTTGTACTAAAGAAACTAGTCTTGGATCTATATCTCTTAACTTAGTCACCTTTGAGTAACTATATACAAGCCAAATCTTATGTATTGTAACTCTTCTATTGCTGACAGATAAGTTGTTAAATGTTCATAATTGTAACACAACAGCCATATATTTTATACCCACCTAGGTCGTTTGTTTCTGTGTGTCATTTTGACAGGTACTTAGCTCTTTTTTTTCTCAGCATGGTATAGGAAAATAGTGTGTCGTTAAACCAGTCATAGTAAGATTTTCATTGGCATGGAATACATAATAGTGTGTCGTTAAACCAGTCATAGTAAGATTTTCATTGGCATGGTAACATAATAGTGTGTCGTTAAACTAGTCATAGTAAGATTTTCATTGGCATGGTAACATAATAGTGTGTCGTTAAACTAGTCATAGTAAGATTTTTATTGGCATGGTAACATAATAGTGTGTCGTTAAACTAGTAATAGTAAGATTTTTATTGGCATGGTAACATAATACTGTGTCGTTAAACCAGTCATAGTAAGATTTTCATTGGCATGGTATACATAATAGTGTGTCGTTAAACCAGTCATAGTAAGATTTTTATTGGCATGGTAACATAATAGTGTGTCGTTAAACTAGTCATAGTAAGATTTTTATTGGCATGGTATACATTATAGTGTGTCGTTAAACCAGTCATAGTAAGATTTTTATTGGCATGGTATACATTATAGTGTGTCGTTAAACCAGTCATAGTAAGACGAGTACAGTTACAGAGTGGGTCATGTCAGTGATCCAAGGAGCTTATTTTTTGGGGTGGGGGAATGGTTGTTGATATTTAAAGCAGGTTATCCCTTTTTCTAATGTTATGCATGCGTATGGCACGTGTTATTATAGCATTTCTTGTTCTTGCTTGTTCGTCAAATGACGCTGATCTTCAGTAACTGGTGGAAGATATTTTCGAAGTAGATTGCAATAATTTCTGAAAACTGGCATCAAAAGCCTGCCATATGCTTTGTTCGACAATACAAGTGAATGTTGGAGTGCAGAAAGGTCTGTTTATTCACACTGTTTTAAATTCTAATGGGCGATTTTTTTTCTGGGAGTTGTAAATTTCGATTGTAGGGTGTGTGAGCTGCGATTTGTTGTTATTATCATAGTGTAAGGAGTTGGTCTAGACAGCGGTTCACATAAAATGACCTGAAAACAGCTAACCAAAATTAGTCATTCTTCCGGAAACAAGTCCCTTAGATAACAGTCAGTCACCATTTAAAGGAGCACCACTACATACTATGAAGAAATATATACAATTCTGGAAAACTCAAAAGGAGTGTTGTCCTTATAAAAGTAAATGTGAAACATTTGGTCTTATGCAGATAATCTAAATCAAACTAATTTGAGTACTATCAACAGCGAACAGGAATAATTAAAATAAAATCTACTTCTGTTACAGTAGAACTTGATTGCTTTATGTTAACATAGGTTGCGAAGACCCGCATTCCAGAAGAAAAAACTGCGTGTTTTTGGAATGACTATGCATGTCCGTTGACCTTGGGGTAAGAAGCACCTGGGTCTCTACTAGTTATTGTTCAAACAAACGTTTTCTTTTATAAAATTAAAATTGTTGTTCGGCATGAGCCCCCTTATAGGCCCGGGCCCCAGGGATGTATTTCCGGTTGTTCCCCTACCCTTGTCGGCCCCTGCATCTGTATAGATGGTGCTAATTTGATCAAGAAGACGTATAAAAGAAATTTGCAGACAATAACAAAAGATACAAAGGTGCTAGACGTTTCCAACCTATGGAAATAGTTTAAAGAGAGTTATGAGAGAAAGAGGGGCTTCTTAAAGAAATTATACCAACGCTTAATTATTGATTCATTTGGTACCATAATTTGCAATGGGTGCTTGCAACAAATTTAAATCACTGATAGTTTACACTAGTGCTTGAGGAATTCAGTTGCTTTATACAAGATTTCTTGGATGAACATTATATGGACAGGGGTACATTCAGCAATGCATTATACTTCGTGAACTAAGTTTATATTTCTTATTCATTATTATATTATTCCAGGTATTACATTACACAGAGGACATTGCAAACCATTGTTTAACAGAATTATTCGAGCCATATTCAAGCCAGCTTTAGTAGAGGCCTGGCAGTGACTCGCATATTTAAAACCCCAAGTTATTTTGTCTGTTTAGACTCACCGTGAGCTTAGCATACACTGATGAGAGTGATGAGAGTGTAACTTTTATGGTGACGGATTCTATGCATATTTTTAACTTAATCAGATCTCTACTTTACATTTATTGCATCCAATGAATGTGTGGTTTTCCTTGTCCTATTCACTATTTGTATGTACATCATTATCATTCCTACCATGGCGATTCAGCATAAATATATTTATAAAAACTTTGAAGACAATTGAAACATAATATTAATAGGATAGATGGACAATAAAGATCTTTATGGTTTATAGTTGTAATATTATTGGTATTCACAATCAAAAATGAACATTTTGCTGATGATATGTGTGTAATTATAGTTATGTCATCAAGTGCAAATATACATTTATACAAATTTGCTTTGTGTTTCTCATTAATGATAAACGGTTCCTTGTCAGCCAGTCCAAGCCGTTTCTCAGAATTTTGATAGTCTTTTGGAATCTTTTCATAGTTATCATTGACAGTCATAATGTTTAAATACACAAAAAAATTTACAATGACTTCTATCCACATCTTTTTAAAAAAGTGGAGATAATATCCTTATACCTGTCAGAGTGGCTGCATGTCCTTCCATTAGTATAGCAGTGTATCTCATAAACGATTAAAGACGCATGCTTGAAACTTAGTGATAGAATTCGGGGTTAATATTTAGATGTATACAGTGGTCATAAAATTTGAATTAGGATTCTTGGATGAGATCCGTGTCTAGAGATACTTATTTTTCCCCAAAAGGTCTAAATATTTTAAGTATTGCTGGTGGAAATCTAAAAGCCGATTCCTGTCATCTTCAAGACTCTGGTTGCAACGTGTGCATTAGGTTTTAGTGTCACAATCTCTGGTCTTGTCCCGGAGACGATTCATGTTGGTATGCTGCATT